CATCAACTTCAGTGAGTGCTGATTTAGTCCGAAGTTGGGATATGACCTTCGAAGTCGATAGATTTTTCAAATCACCAAATAGTTGGTCGCGTATAGTTCCGAATTGCTCACCGGGAAAACTCAGGAGAAGGAAAACAGCCAATAGCTTGTCACTGATTTTTAGATCAGGATCAGTTGATGTGGCTTCAGCTAATTGGGTGTGAAGATTGTTAATCCCATCAAGGAAAGATGAGACCGTTTCCGTTCCAGAGTATTGTGTGTTCGCGACCTTGGCAATGAGGGTAGCAACCTCAAGGCCATCGTCCTGAGAGACCTGTTTGAGTAAGGTTTCGTACGCCTGTTTAGGGTCCTCGATTCCTCGAATAAGTGGCAGTCGAGTTGGGAGCACCGTAGCTCGTATGATTTCGAGTACACCGGCACGTTCGGCCTCAAGGGATTCAACTTTGTCTGGATCCTTTAGATCAGCACCAGAAAGTTTAATGTCACGTTCGACATATTTCCAAAGTTGACGACTACGGAGGTATGTTTTGATACCGATCTTCCAGTCTACTTTGTTGGTGTCGTTTAGTTTGGGTATTGCACCGAGTAATAGCGATGAGTGTGAGTTTGAAGAGTTAGAGAATGTGGCGTTCGCAGTCGTAGTCATGGTGGACTGAGGGGTGGGATCTGACTTGGGTGGGGAAGACTCAGAATGCGAAACGCCGGGATCCGCGGGATCCGTGGTTGCCAGTTTGGTAACTTGGGATTGCGGGGTAATGTAGTTGTACAATCAATAAGATTTCGAAGTTCAGCGAAGATAATGACAGTTTGATTGAAATGATAAGGTTCGAATCTTAATTGAAGGTCGAAAAGGGGATTTCGAGGTGGGTGGGTATTTTAAGTTTGAATTGACGTATTCTGTGCTACCAGAACGTGTTCAGAACTTTAATCTACCTTCGGGTTGATCTTGATCGAAGCGGTAAGCGCTGGGCTCATAACCTAAAGGATTCAGAGAATCCTGATCAGAGAACAAACAGAAACAAAACAACTCAGTCTATGATATCTTGAAGCAACGCTGAAAAGATTATGAGGGATGAGGTTTGTTTATAGTTTGTATAAATGAAAGCTTGAAGAAGAAAAGAGAAGCTTTCAGAATTCGACAATCAGGAAATATAAGTGAGCAGCAATACAATTAGATGTTAGGGTAAATCACGTGAGTATAAAATGGACAAAACATCACGAATACAATTGTTATATGTAAGAACTTAAGTACTATGTTATCATGTAGCAATATGAGAGAATGGTTTGTTCCAACAGTGTGGTCTTCACGTGGTACACCCAAGTGAAGACTACAGCTAGTTGACCTCTAAGAAGAGGATTTGAGAAAGGGAAAGGAGAGATAAGGGCAATAAAGAGCTAATGTGCTCTAACCTCGTGAGACTGTG